CTACTTATTTTAAAAAAGTTACTTTAAGTGTTTACTTTTGGTCTCTATTATCATCAAATTTGAATTTTTTATTTATTTCATGTCAAATATATATAATCTTAAAAAAATGCAGTTTGCAGAGCAACAAGAACAAATAATCAGTTCATCAGTTTATAATATTTTATAGAATTTAGATGTAGTAGTTAAAGAATTTATAGTTTATATAATGAAAAAAGTGCAAAGTACAAAATTCTAAAATCTATATTTAAAATAATAAATTAATTTATCTTGAACAGGAACCAAGTTTCAGATAATATAATTAATTGGTTTCTAAATGATAAAAGGATTTTTATAATTCAAACCATTCTTGGAAATTGTTATTATCTTAGAGAGTAGATCAAAAAGATGAACATAAAACTTTCAGTCACTATCAAAAATTTACAAAGATGGGTGATGCAGATTGAATTGTTATGAAGATGGTATTGAAGTTAAAAAAGATGAATACAATGCATTTCTTCATTATTAAAAGCTTGCTAATAATTTCAATTCAAAAGAAATGTTTCAAGTTAGTTGTTGTTATTATACTGGAATTGGGATTGAAAAAGATAAAAATAATGCATTTATTTATTTTAAAAAATCTGATAATATAGGAAATGTTGAAAGAATTTATAGAGTTGGATGTTGTTATCATGAAGAAATTGGTATTACAAAGAATCTTCATAATGCATTCATTCATTACCAGTTGTCTGCAGAAATGAATCATCTTATAGGAACTTATAACTTTGAATACTGTTATGTATATGGCATTGGGCTTGAAATAGATGAACATAAAGTATTCATCTATTATCAAAAATCTGCTGAAATGGGTTTTATTGATGGATTATTTAATCTTGGATATTGTTATCATAAAGAGATTGAGATTAATAAGAATGAATATAAGACATTTATTTATTATCAAAAATCTGCTAAAATGAAGCATGACAGTAGAATGTAACAAGTAGGTTATTGTTATAAAAATAGTATCAGAGTTGAAAAGGATGAATATTAAGCATTTTTTCATTATCAAAAATCTGCTGAAATGGGAAATGTTGACAGAATTCATAGAGTTGGTTATTGCTATTATGAAGAATTTGGTGTTGCAAAGAATATTCAAAAAGCATTAATTTAATATCAAAAATCTGTTAAACTAAGAGATTCTTATAAATTATATATACTTGGTCTTTTTTATAAAAATGGAAATGGAGTTGAAAAAGATGAATATAAAGCCTTTACTTGTTACCAACAATCTGCTGAAATGAGGGAAGTTAATGGAATACGAAAACTTGCTTATTGTTATCTAAATGGAATTGGAGTAATAAGAAATTTAGAAGAGGCAAATTATTGATATTAAATGTAAATAAATTATTTAATTTTTTATAAAAAAAATTTTATTGAACATATGATTTATATGTAATTCTTACTGTTTAGTGAGAAAACTCAAGCATTAGATAAAATAATATTTATTGCTATTATTGATTAAAATAATTCAAAATTTTAATAATTCTTTTTTGTTTATTAAACTAGTCACAAATGAATAGTTGAATAAAAATTTTGATATTGATGAAAGATTAAAACAAATGCTTATTGAAAATAAATACAAATTATTATAGATTCCTTATAATGAATTTGAAGACATTGAAGAAGAAGAAAAAGAAAGATTTGCAACTGTATATTCCACTAGTTGGTATAACTTGAATCAATAAGCAAATAAAATAGTTGTATTGAAATTATTTTATGAATCAAGAAATTGCCAGAAAGAATTTATAAGTAAGGTGATTTTTTTAAATATTTTAATAAAGTTTTATTATTTTTCTATTGTAAGCCAGATTTTTTGAAAATTACAAGGGCCTGAATCAAGCAATGATCCATATCTGATTTGAAGTCACATGAAAAGTAACAGAAATGTTACTTTTGTTACTTATGAGATAAATGAGATATCAGCCTTTTTTCAAATATAATTAGTAGAGATAGGACACTATGTAGTATTTTACTGCACAGCCTGCACAGGCATTTTTTGAGGCTGTGCAGTGTAATTTTTATAATTCTGGCCAGCTGGCATAATTCTGACCAGCTTTATAATTCAGGTTTGAATTATGAATCAAAAATCAGTTTGAATCAGCTCGAAAGAAAAACCAATCTGCATTATCTGATTAATAGAATTCATCATTTATAATTCTGATCAAACTTGCAGATTATTTGACTATATTTAAAGTTGTTTTGTTTTATATCTGGTCAAATGATCTGCAAATTTGATCAGAATTATCAATTCACTAATATGCAAAGAAAAAGTGAAAAAAATGCAAAAAAACAAAACTGATGTTTAAACTAACCTTGAAGCATTAATTAAAAATAATGAGAGCCCAACTTTACATATATGAAGTAGATGTTTTATATATATAAATGTGAAGCCTAATTAGTTTAAGTCTCTAAAGACTGAGGTTGTGTAGGCTGTATAGTAGTTTCAAAAAAGCCTTAATTTTCTATTTCTAATAATTAGGATATAATGGATATTACATTTATGTTAGAAATTAATTAGCAATATAAATAAAAGTTTATTATAAATAAAGGGTCTTCTGTCTAGGGGGAAAGGAACTATAATACTTTCAAGTCAATATATTTGCTAAAATAAACTTTAGTATTAAATCCATATTGAAAGTAAAACTATAACCTAACCCAAACTGAAAACTATTGTTAAATCCATTGTTATTAACTATCTTTCATCTATTATTAAATTACTAAACTACATTTTAATCATTTGTTATAAATCATGTAACCAAGTTGTTAACACAAAAAAAAGACTTTAACCTGATTTGACATTTTGTAACCTCAGGTTAAAGAAGTAAAAAAAGAACAAGATAAGGCAAGAGTTAATAGAAGAATAGGTTAAAGAAAAGACTTAGAAGAAAAGAATAGTACTTACTTACAGATAAACCACCCAGCCAAATCTAATATGTTTATTTTGACTAAGTCATCATAAGTTATACAAGAATTAGAAAGAATTAGTAACAGACTTACTGATTTGTTATGCAATATTTGGTAGTAACTGTAATATACAAAAATTAGTAAAATACTTGTTATCTTCCTTTCTTCTTCTCAATTTAAAAATTTTAAAAAAATCAATTTAAGACTAATAAAAAAGCAAAAAACTTATTAAACCTCTTTATAAATCATAATAAGATAAGTTAGATTCATAAAAAAAGACAAAACTGGAAATAATTTTTAGAAAAGACAAGACAGAAGCTATGTATAATATACAACTTAAAGAACTAATCAATATCATAATGTGATAATTTAAAGATGCTGCTAGAAGTATTACTAATAGGAATAGACCAAATTCCAAGAAAAGCAATATTGTAAAAATAAGGCCTTTAGCAAGAATAACAATGATGATCTAATCGAATAGCTTGAAGACTTTGAATAAGCAGTAGAAGCAAACAATTGAAATAATCAATGAAAGTTAAAATCATCTTTGGCTACCTGTGAGATATAACTGCCAAATGATACAAAGACAACCAGAACAAGATAATCTATTGAAAAAAAGACAGAGCAGCAGAAAACAACTTTCACTCCTTATTAGTAATATTCTTTATCATCTTAAAAAAATAGCACAAATGGCAATTAGAATTTAACATCTTAGTTTAAAACAAAAATGAAAAAGTTGACACTTATGCAACTAAATTAAAAATTTGCTAAGTCAGATAGACTCTTTATCTGAATCATATACTATATAAATGTTTCTTGAAAAGCTAAGAAGAAAAACAGTTATATTTATAATTATAACATCATTATGAAATCTAAATAAAGCCATTGTAGTTATTAGAAAAGTAGAAGCTAGAAATTATTATGTTATCCATACATTTGAGACTGTTTGGTTAACTAATAAAAAGGATAAATTAATTGAAACTCTTGTTAAACAAGTGCAACAACTATTAGTAAACTACATTGCACTAAATAATAAGAAAGAAAAAGATATATCAGACTTAGAGAAACATCACAATAATTACTAAGAACCAAAAAGAAAAATTATATATTATGGCAATAGAGAAATGTGACATATTACTAGGTATTATCAGTCTGAAAGATAATTATTCCACCAGAATGAAGAAACAAAAAAACTATTCCAAGTTAGAAGAATAAATTATATAGTTCAGAAAAAAGACAAATATTATAATCTTGAGAAAAGGTAGCCTTAATTCTAAGCTGACAACTTGAGAAAAGGTTGAGGCTACAAGCAAAATCAAAGTAAAAAAACTGACTGAGGCAATAATAAGATGAGAAACCACCTTTAGTAGATTTAGAAAACACCTTGGACCTAATAAATAAAGACAAATTTTGACTAATTCAAAAACCCCATAAAAGATGAGAACATTCTATAGTTGCAAACTAGCTTTATATAATATTACTGAGAATCTATTGAACTCATCTGCTCATGTTACTTATAGGCAGATGCTCCAATACCCAAACAATGATGAAATTAGGCCCAAGTCCTTCAAAGTCTCATCACTATTCAAGAAGCTAGAGTGGTGAATTTTGGAGAAACCCAACAAATAACTGCTATATACTGTTATATTAAAATTAAAAAAAATTCTATAAAAACCATATTAGACTTTGGCACTGCTGTAAGCATAATAACCAAGAAACTCTTAGACAAACTCTACTTGAGAATCGATTAACTCTTGACTACAGTGGTAGTTACAGCAACTGACACAAAAACAAGAGCATTAGAAAAAGTTAATAATCTCAAATTAGTGATCTGAAACACTATTTTATCTAGCACTTTTTAGGTGATTAAATCAGTATAAAAAACTCTACTTTTATAAACAGACTGGTTCTAAAAGGTTTAAACAAGAATCTACTTTGATGAGCAACAGTTATTCTGAAAGAACAAAGATAAAACTGTCAAAGTCTCTATATTAAATAATAAGAAAATAAGATTAGAAAAGCTGGAAAAGAAAGACCTCTGAGATAGTGATAATGAAAATATGTTTGACAGACTTATCTATAAGGATGAAGACTTGAACAAGGCAGAGAGGTACTATACAGAAGAAGTATTAGATAAAAATGAACTGTACAATAACCCATAGAAGAATAAAACTAGCCTTACTATTTATTTGATAAATATTGATGAACTCTCTACTGAGGTACAAGATGAATCAACTGTGATTAAACAATTAGAGAAATTTATACAGACTAACTTTCTAGATAAAGAAGAAAGAAAAAAGAAATTAGAATTTTTTAGAAAAAAGGAATTACTCTTTATAAATAATATACAAAAACTAGAAAAAACAAATGTAATTATTTACTAAATTGATATTACTAATACTAGACTAATTAAGCAACATATCTATCAAATTATTACAAATTAACTAAAATTTGTAAAAAGAAAATTAGAAGCATTGAAAAAATAATAACTTATTCGAAGGTCCAATAGCCTGTGTGCATTTCTGATAATAGTTGTACTGAAAAAATGCAAAAAATTATAATTATACATAAATTACTGTAAACTAAATGCTCTAATGAAAAAAAACACTTAACTTTTGCTTTAAATTGATAATCTACTAGAAACCTTTAAAACCACCAACTGGTTTTTGAGCTTGGATCTAAAAAGTAGATATTGGCAGATTAGAATGAATGAAAAATATCAGGAAAAGATGACATTTATTATCCAAAGTGGCCTTTTTGAATTTAATATAATGCTATTTAGTTTATATAACACTTTAGTAACATTTTAGCATCTTATAAATGAGGTATTGAAAGAGTATACAAGAATATTTATTATCATTTATCTTGATAATATTAATATATATTCAAGGACATTTAATAAGCATTTAGTCATTTACAAAAGGTATTCAAAAAATTAGATAAGACTGAATTATAGTAAAATATTGAAAAATATGACTTTTTTAAACTAGATATTTACTTCCTGAGATATGTAGTTGGTCATAATAGGATTAGACCAAATGAGACAAAAGTAGAAAAAACTAAGCACTTTCTCATACCTAAACCCTTAAACAGCTGAAAGGCTTTATCATCTTAGCCTCATACTATTGACAATTCATTTTAGAATTTACTACAATTGCCAAACTTCTACATTATATACTGCAAAAGAGTGTTAGTTATAAGGGGTGTGGCAACCTAGTGAAGTGGATAGGTTGTCAACCCCCAAGTGACAGGTCTAAAGTTCAAATCCTAGTGATAGCAAAAATTTGCAATTCTTTTTGTATTACAGCTAACTGTCTTCTATGATTGGTTGGGATAGGATACCTGTAATCCGTGTCATACCAGTATGACTAGAAGGTCTAAGGCACTCATACAATGTTGTACGAGAGAATACAAACCAGTACCAGGTGGTGTGAACTTAAAATAAGTTCTTAGGCCATGTAAATCAAGGGAACCAGATAGGAAAATGGAAGCCTACTTGGAAGACCTGAGTAGAAAGATAGCCTGAATATTTAATGGTGTTACTGTAAAAACTAGACTTATAAAACAGAGCTAAAACTTGTGAAACCAGGCAAATGTGCTGGTCTTTGAGGAGGAACTGGGTGAACCAACCAGGCCACCAGAATTTTTGTGTTCCAGAAGAAAAGAGCATATGTTAGCAAACATGTGAACCAAAGGTGTATAGTTTTGATCTACCTTTCTGAGCTATCTGGAATAGCAGCTTGGTGGAACTTGAATTGAATACCAAAGTAGTAAAGATATGTTGTGAAGTCAGTACCAGGGTTGGGGTGAACTCTACAAGGGCATAGTGGTTTAATGGTATGCCCTAACCACCAGTGTTGGTCTTAGCCATAGCAATATCAGGTCAGCTGTAAGAATGAAATACAGAAGATTCTGGAAGGTTTAATACAAGATCAAAGGTTTTTATATGAGTAAACTGCTTTAAAAACTTAGTGACCATGACATATTTGAACCAGTATCGACTGAAGCATCTTAGTAGATGTAGGTAGGTGGATGGATACGGAAACAGATTGGTTAAATAGGGAACCTACAAGCAGGTTTCAGATATGGCAGCTAGTGTAGAACCTTCAGGCAGACTACTTAAATTAGACAATGACTAAAGTTGTACAAGTGGCTAGTTGTACACTCTTTCTATAGTTGCTTTCTGTGGTTGTAATACAACTATTAGCTAAATATACTATCAATAAAATCCTGGGCCGCAAGTACTCACCTTAATATTTAAAAAAAAAAAAAAAAAGTTTGTTAGTTATAAGTAAAAAAATCAACAACAGAATGCATTTGAAAAATTAAAAGGATACTTAATTTTAGTACCTATATTCAAGTATTCTGACTTTAACAAGACTTTCTACCTTCATAATGATACTTATAAAACTGGATTTGGTGCTGTATTAGCACAAAAAGGTGAAGAAAATAAAGAACACATTATCTTCTATGCAAGTTGAAGCCTTTTCAAGATGAATAAAACTATTTGACAACTGAATCTGAATGTTTTGCAATATTTTGAACTATAAAGTACTATTAACATTATTTTGAATTTAGGTTATTTATGGTGTAACAGACCATTTAGTTTTAAAATAGCTGCAGACTTTAAAGTTAAAAAGTAAAAGATCTCAGTAAATCTTATATTTGCAACCTTATAACTATATAATTGAACACCAAGCTAATAGGATTTATTCTAATGCTAACACACTATTATAAAGAGTTGAACCCAAACAAGAGGATTTAACCTAGAATTAAAACTCTGAACTTGGAACATCGAGAGAACCTAAAAAAAAAGAATGAATAAAAGCATTAGCCCTGAAATGAATAAATCAAAAAAGAACAACAAGACACTTATTGTAATATGGTCATCAAATGATTGGAATAGAATATTCAAAATAGAAAAGAAAACCTATATGATGTTGGCTAAAAAACAAGTAGGCAAAAATTGGGATGACTACAAAGATGAATTGGAGATAAATTTTACAATCCTGAGTACTCACATAACTATCATTTTGGGGCTAGAGAAGTCTAATAAAATCTAACTGAGAAAAAAAAATATGTAATAAAGAAAAAAGAGTTCATGTATTTGCTTAAACACATACTTGCTGAAACTGAAAATGGAAAAGATCTTTATGACTGTCACAGGTTGAATAAATAAATAAAAGGTAAATAATAGGTAAATAACAGAAAAAAATTCTGCTATTATTCTACTCTATATTTGCCAAATAATAATAGCATAACAGCAGCATAATAACAGAATAATAGTAAAATAACAGAAGGTTTGTTAATATGAATAGTATCATAATAACATAATAGCAAAATAATAGAACAGTTCTATTAGTTTACTTTTAGTCTTTGTAATTAAAAGTAAAATAATAGAACTGTTCTATTATTTTGCTATTATGTTACTATTATATTACTTATATTAACAAACCTTCTATTATTTTACTATTATACTGCTATTATGCTACTGTTATACTGCCATTATTTGGTAGATATAGGATAAAATAATAGCAGATTTTTTTCCTGTTATTTACCTATTATTTACCCTTTATTTATTCATTCAATCTGTGTGTTTCAATGGACCTTCAAGAAGTAAAAACTAATAGATTATAAAAAAAAAATATATAATAAATGACCACTTTGTAATTAAGCCTGAAGAATGATTTCTTACCACTATTGCAGATAACTATGTTACAAAAAACAGGTAATATAAAGAAGAAGAAGTCAAAGCATTTCTCATCTTCCTATAGAATGAGCTAAAACTTGATAAACTAGATAATAAGAAATTTATTCTAAATCTCATTCTACAAGACAAGCCACTTGACCCATATAATAACAAAAAATATATTAGTAAACTTTAAAAAAAAGAAATAAGTTACTTGATAATTCTAGAATTGATAGCTCTAAAAACCTTTGATGAAAGTAGAACTTCTATAGATTATAAGAAAATGAAGACTTATGTTTATAGATGAAACTGTGTTAGAAAAAGAATACAAATGATATGCAATAGCAGAAATTAATAAAATTCATATGTGACAATATTTTGAAGATGTGCTGCAGATGTCTGTAATTATGAAACAATAACTACTAAAATGAACTATTGATCAGAGTTAATGGATAAAACTGAGATCACTCAAAAGATTAAGAAAAACATAACAAAAGGACAATATAAATAGACCCTTAATAAAAAAACAAAATTTTTTTATTTATATATAATTATAGAGAGAAAAAGATAAAAAGAGATAAATTATAGAAAGATGGCTTTTATTTAAAAAGTTATAACAATGCTACTTATATAAAATAAAATTATAAAAAACCTTAATCGACTATATCTGTTTGATATTACTATTATACATATTCTTTGAAATAACATATACCTTTATTACCTATGTAATGTCTATATACAATTATCTGACAGAGCTATCTGACTTTAAAATAACCATAATTCTTTAATATATGCTTACTACTTAGGTAAGTTATTTGTGAATAGAACTCAGTCAAATAAATGCCAATTTCAGAAACTGATCATTTAATATTTTTTGATCATCTCTGCTTAAGTCTATGACCTGTTTCTCAAATATGGTCTAGAGCTAATCTATTGCATAAGGAACTTAACTTTGAGAAATATTCAAAGGTTAACTATGCCAGAATTCCATAAATTGGTTAAAGACCTCTCATGAAACTCAAGGTTAAGTGTAAAAAAAATATAAGCCTAATTTTTAAGAATCACAAAGGTCTGAATTGAGCAATAATCTTTATCCAATTCAAAGTTATATGAAAAGTAACAAAAATGTTACTTTTATTACTTTTCTTATATCTATTACTTCTGTTACTTATGCTATTTCTTTTATTTATAAGATAAATAAGATATTGGTCTTTTCTTAAATATAATTAGAATATAACTAGAATTGTAAAAAATATTATACAGTATAATAACATTGGTTAATATATTGTATAATAATAATTATTATACTATCAATTTTTGGTATAATTAGTATAATATTGATATAATATAAATTAACTAATAAAATTTTTTTTTTTGTTATTAAGGTAACCTTTGATTTTTATTAATTACTTATCAGTATTGCGGTTCAATGAACTACTACAAGAGAGAGTACAATTGGCTACATGTGTAACTTTTTATATTACCTATTTAAGCAGTCTGCCTGAAGGTTCCCTACCAATTGCTATACCTAACATTCCTACTTGGATGTTCTACTTTAAACCTTCTGAATTTGTAACTTGTATTAACTTGCTAGATTATATTCAGATGCCCAGATCATCATCTCAACCTTAGAACTAATTTATCCTTAAGGTAAACCTCCAAGAGCCTTCTGTATCCATTTTTACAGCTGACCTA